CAGCATCTCAGCTGTGGAGAGAGGTGGCCATGCATGGGAAGCCGTGGGGGCAAGGGAGGGCATAGGTGAGATTCAAGTTCATAACTAATTTGGAAAGTTGGATAAGCCACATGCAGATAATGGCACATCGACTGAGCCCCATTTGCTTATTTTCATGGGTGATGCTTACCAGTTGTTTGCCCTGGCCCACCATTACTGAGAATCCCCCATAGCCACAGCTGTCAACCTCTGAGAACTATGACACCTTCTCACAATGGAAGTAACTTCAAAATCTCAGAATGTCAAACCTACAAGGATCTTGAAGGTTGTCAGGTTCAACTCTCTCATTTTACAGATGCATTAACTTAGTTGTAGAAAGAGGAAGTAACCTGCTCAAGGTCACAGAGGTAGTTAGTGGCTGATCTGGTTTTCAGACCTAGATCTTCCATTTCTTAGTGTCTTCCCCTGCCTCATGCTGCCTCCCCCATATTTTCAAAGTTTTCTGAACGGGGAATTAAAAGATTTGACAAACAGGCCATTTCTAGCCCAAAGGAGGGAAGAAAGAAAGGAATGTTTGTGGCACACATGTACTTTTAGTTAATGTGAACTAAAATTAAGTTTGAAAAGCAATGTTTTTCATTCCACTAGTTTTGATAGTTCTGTTTCCACTAGCCCCTGCCCAGTTCTGCTTCCACTTGCTAAAAATCAGTTGAGTCCCTTTGTTTTAGAGGGCAGGTGTCAAGTGTCTCTAAATCATAGGAAACACCCCTAATGGACAGCACACAGAGAAAGCTTTAATAAAACAGTTAAGAAATAATTTTGTTAATTACCATATTTCACTTTTCTAAATATTTGTAGCAAGCTCAGAAATGTTGCTCTCCTTCCTCCCCTTGACCCCATTCCACTCACAAGTACAAAACAAACAGGGGGAGGCTGAGGTCCTCATTTTTGCAAAGTTGACTTTTTGATGGCCAATCTCTTAGGTCTGTGGAGTGAAAAAAATGTTTTTGGTGCCAAAGACCTTAATTAATTTGCTCTTGTTAAATTCTAATAACTTGACCCACTGGAGCAGAGAACGTCTCATTTGTTTTCTGTGGGGTTCTGTCAACTCTGCTGGGGGAGACAGTGTCATTAGAGATGACAGAAGAGGAGGCAAGTGGAACGAGGACATTCGATGTAATCAGATCTTCTCATTGAGGGGACATGGGTGAGAGAAGACAAAACCTTCAAGAAGAAGCACTGCTCCAAGTAACAGTGGACTCTCAATCATGTGAGGATGCGGGGTGAGGTTCCTAGGCTGCGACTGGATTTTGCAAAGCTTTATTGAGTGCCTACTACGAGCGGAATCTACGAGTGCCTCCTGGCCTGATCACTCATATTTAAGAGTGCCTGCTCCTTCTCATACACCCTCTTATTCAATCCTCTCAACAACTCTGAAGACAGTATTATTCTTCCATTTCACTGATAAGGAAAGGGAAGCAGAGACTTCTGTGGGGACCCTGGAAACTATGGAAACTATACCCACCATTGTGAATCTCATCTCCTCCTCCCTGAGCTATTATTTGGAGGCCAAAAGGCTATCCCTGGACTAGGATGTGGAGTGTCTTGCAAGGACTTACCTGCAGAGGGAAACCAGACCTGCCTTGTAGGGGTCATGGTTCTCATCCTACATTTCTCTAAGTGACCCTGCTGTCAAGTGTGCTCACAATGACACCAGGGTCACTTAGAGGAATGTAGTTCTGTGAGTCTGAATATCTAGTTGAGCCTAAAAATGAAGATAACTCCAGTAGACATTGCAGGCTCCACCTGATTCTCCCTTCCCTAGAGCCCCTAAGAAGCTGCTAGTCTATAACCACTTGTGCAGTGCTGTGTGTTTTTCCTCAACTGGCCAGCATATTGCAGAGGAGGAGGAGTGACTCATACTGGAACTTTACCCTGAAAACTGGCATCATCACTACTGATCATGATCACCATCCTCAAAATCACCGTCATTGCAACCACCATAAGAATCTGTGCATTTCAACTATTTCCAGTTACCTGCCTCTCCCCTCTCTCTGTCACATATTAATTCTGTTTTGATTTTGTTTCCCAGCATTTTCTCCTGTGGACAGCCTCTCCTAGAAAAACACTGAACTGTGAGTCCTACTCTTCTGCCCGACTCAGCCTAAGACAAATCCTCCAGTCTTAATGTTTTACCATCTAAAACACTGGAAGAAGAATCCTTGCCCCTGGGGATATGCTTTGACACTAAATTAGCTCCAGTTCAAACCAACAAAATGATAGAACAATCTAAACAGTTTAAAGATGAGATGGTCTAAATATGACTGTATCTGACCACTGTTGGATGGCACCAAAATCAGTTAGGGTCCCTATGCATTCCTCTCCTATTCAATGGCTATCTGCAAGCAGTCACTGGTCTGTCAGAGACTCACTGGTCTGTCAGAATGGATAGAGCATGATGTGGCTATGCAGCTGAGAATTTATGTTTTCCTAAAAGCTTAGAGGAAAGAAAACAATGTGAAAATTCAATATTTAGTTCACTCCGCTTCTCCCAGAAATGGAGTGATTGCATACAAGATGGATGTAAGAAGAGAAACAAATTAGAAAGGTAGAAGTGGGCCAGGGGAGGCAGGCATATAGGAGATACCGTGAGCAAGAGAGGCCAGAGCACCAGGTAGGCCAGAGCAGGGGTGCTGGGTAGCTCAGAGCCCAGCCTGTTTATGAGGGCTCCTCCTGTAAGTGGGCCCAGGTGTACCCAACTGGCAGGTGGCATCTTCAGGTATCCCATAAGTGACACCATGGGACTCCTGCTATCTGATGCAGAAGGGCTCATAGAAGGATCCCTTGACTGCCCGTCAGGAGACTTTGCTTCTAATCCCAGATGAGCAAGCTTGAGCAGATCACTTCCCTTCTCCAGGTCCTAGCTCTCAACTGCAAAGCAAAAGAGCCATACTGGTCGATTGTACAATCTTTTCTTTGGTCAATGCTCTCAGTCTTCTTATCTATGGAACCCTGAGAGGTAGACAGTACTGATGCCCCTGTCTCTCATCCATGCTTACACCAGGGGAGGAGGAGAATACTTCCCTGTCCTACCACCTCTTTGATGTAAGCTTTGTTGGTAACGTGCATTGGCCAATGTCTGTGGGCAGAAGGAGCAATATGCCAGTACTGAGTTGGAGCTTTGAGAAGCGTTGCAAACATCAACCTTGGGATGTTTGTGCTCTTGTGCTCCTGCACTTGGCTAGGAGAAGAATAGACCTCTGTAGCCCCTTCTCCTTTAACGTGGGTCCCAGCATGAGAAGACATTCAGAGCAGGCCCAAACCCAACGCACAGTCAGAAGCTAAGCCCAGCCAAGCCCCGCAGAGCCACAGCCGTCTCATAGACCCATGAGTGGAAAATAAATGATTCTTATTGTAAGGCCCTGCAATCTTGGAGTTGTTTGTTGCTGTAGCCACAGCTGACTAATACACCACACGACAGGAAACATGTCTCATAGACGCTCACATCAGGGACAGATCAAAAGCCTGCCTAAAGGAGAATGAAGGGCAGCTGGAGGGGCCCCTACAGGAAGGCCCTCAAATGCTTCCTCTCTGTTCCAGAGCCCCATACCTCCATATGGAGAGACACCTGGTTTTTGGCATCAACAAACCAGGCCTCAGCAGGAGAGGAAGGGAGTTTTTTGGGAGAGGGAGCTAAATGAGAATGACTCAAAGTCAAAGTCCTCCCATTAACAGTCTTCTATTTCCACAGTCCTCCAGACCTGGGTAATCTGTTCCTTTCACTGCCTACATGCCATCATTAAAAGTCTCTTGAACTGGGAGCTGATGTACTAGTTTTGCTAGCATGGAAAGGCAGCAAGATGCTTCTTAGACAGATCTACAAGTTCTGGCATTACTGGTCTCTGGCTACTGTAATCAGTATGCAAGTCTCTAACTTCTCTGGTTCTAACATGAAAGGACCCCAGAGAAACTCACATTAATATCATCCCAGCTGAATTCCAGCTAATAGATGTTTTCCCGCCAAATGAAGCAATGTAGCATTTTGATATAATACCCAAACTAATGCCCAGAAAAGAAAGCTGTGGCCTAGGAGGTCATCTGAGAGTTCAAGGTCAGGATGTGCAACCAGTGCTTAAGCATGCTTTGTGTCACTCAGGGAAAACCAGGACCATTCTCCATCCCCTCAGATACTTGGGCAAAGACTTCCAAGTTGACAGCCACAATCATTTGTTGGAAAAAACAGAAAGACTCAGCACTCCACCAACCAACCTAACTTGATGGAAGAGAAGGGAATATAGATTTGGGAGTGGGAAAAGAAGGCATCATAGTGGTGGATTTCCAACTTTTTTCTAAACACTGAAGCCTTTTAAACAGAATCTTACCTGAAATGGAAACATGTCAACAGATAAAAGAATAGAAGCTCAGGGTTAAGCAGGGGTGAAGTTTCAGAGCCTGTCTTGGCAGCATTCCATTGCTCTCTTCTGAATGAAGCTGGGTGTGGAAGCCCAGGACTGCATACAGTTTGAAAATAACTAGACTAGAGGTGACTTGGGCATTGGGATAGGCTTATGGAAAGCTGAAAAAAGGAGGCAGGCATGGTTGATACTGTTTATGGGCATTTTGCTAAGAAGAGAATGGAATTCAAGGTACAGGCATTCCTTGTTTGGCTAGGCAGCCATGGGGCACACAGCAGAGAGGAAGCTTGCTGCATCCTGCTTGAGGCAGATAGACTGACGAACCGACTTTTCACAAATCTCCTTAGTGGCAAGCCTCCTTATCCTTCTCTTCAACCAGGAAAGACAGATTTGCCTGGGAAATATTTAGATTTTCCTTCTTTTCCCTGCTTCCCCCTCCTCCCCACTTGCCTTTCAGATCTAAGCCACTGGCCCTTCCTGAGCTCACAGGCTTCAAGGTTGGTGCCTTCTCTGCTTTGACCTTCCCGAGAGCAGGACCTGAGGGATTTGTCTAACTCATGGTCATGTGGCTTCCCACTTCCCCTAGAGAAAAGCCCGCAGACTCACCTATGCACACTACATCCATGAATCCATACATCCCATAGCAAATCTGGAAGAGGAGGTCTTGGCGCTGCCATTTTGCCGAGGGACTGAAGGTCGACCAGATGAGCCACGAGATGCTGGCGATGAGGAAGAGGGAACCCAGGATGGCGGCTGCAATCTGGACCTTCTCAATGACTGTCAGAGAGATGGCCTGCCACTGCGGGGAAGAGAATGGTAGGTTAGCTGTTGCTCAGATACACTCACCCCATTCCCGTCCCATTCCCACCCCTCTCCCTTCTGTTGTCCCAAACACTCACTTCTGGTTTAGGATTTCAACCAGGGCTTTCCAACCTAGTGATACAATGGATATTTTTTGCAAGTTTCTGAGTTTTACATTGTACATTTGATATATATGCTAGAGATGACCAATTCAGCAGACAAGAAGAAGACACAGGATGTTGTGGAGAGATAAGAAGAACAGTATAACTATATATGAACCCTGAGATTTCATTTTTTAAAAAAACAGGAAAAGTATTTAACTAATAACAGTATCAACGGATGGGTTGAAGGATAAGTTGTGGGTGAGCTTCAGCTCTGAAATTCTGCTCTTCTATGGCTGTTCTAGGGAGCAGGAGCCTAAATGAGCCTGGAGTTGAGTGTTTGGGATTTAGTCCAGCTGTCACTCAACAAATATGTACTGAGTGTTCTCCATGTGCCAGCCACTCTGCTAGGTGCTGGAGACAAAGTAGTAAGCAAAAACATACAAGATTTCTGCCCTTATGGAGCTTACAATCTAGAAAACACAAACAACCACATAATTACTTACAAATGTAATTTATCAGGAGAAAGAAAGGGAGGTAGATGACACTGTGAAGGTCTATGAAATGGGGACTTGACTTCCCAGTAGTGATGCTTCCCACAAGAGTTGAGCAGGAGTTGACTGGGAAAGGGAGGAGCGGTGCATGCTCCTGGCAGAGGGAAGCACATGAGCAAAGGCCCTGTGAGTATGAAAACCTGGAGGAAGGCCAGAGTGAGTGGAGCAGAGAGATCAAAGAGACTGTGGGGTGAGACAGCTGGAAATATAAGAAGGAAAGACCATGTGGAATCTTGAAGAGTATGCACAAATTTTTGACTTTGTGCTGAGTAAATATGATGCTTTTGAACAATTCTAAGCAGGGAAGTTGAACAGTTTTAAAAAGAGAAAATTGGGGAAGGTGGAGGGAAAGAGGATCTCCTGATTGTAGGAATTTGTGTAGCCTCTTGCTGAAAACACCCCCGAAAGCATTTCCGCCTGTACTAGAGGAAAGGCCGAGAACCTTCCATCTGCCAACAGTGAGCTGTCACTACGTGTTAAATGGCTGGGATGGGAGCGCTGATTCTGGCTCCAGCCCGGACTGCCCGATGGCCCATAGGGAACTGTAACCATTGGAAAACATTCCACTTGCTAGTCTAGATGTAGGACATCAGCCTTTACATTTAATTATACAGATAGCATCCCATTATAGGTAATTGGGTCTTTAAATTTTCCACTCCTTCCCCCAGCCTAGGGTTACACATAACAAGGGATTTTTCCAGAAGATGGACTGATCCTACAGACTTTGCTCACACACAACAAATGCCTTTTACAGAGCCTGCCCCACTGTCTGTGAAGAGGGTTCCTGACTGGGCTTTTTGTTTCTACCATTAAGTCATCAATAACCTTCAGTATCTCCTGCTCCTGGCTTCAAAAATCCTAAATCCAGAGGCAGAGAAAGGTCCCCTTTAATTCCTAAAGTCCCTTTCACTGGCTCCCAAGCCACCTATGGAAACTAAACAGGGCCCTTGACTACAATCGGAAGCACGATGAAGGAGGAGAGGGTGAGGGTACCACTGCCAAGGCCCTCCTCCTGTCTGTCTCATGGGAGGCCCCACAAAAGGTGTCAGCAGCAGAGGTGCAAGGAGAAAGCAGAGAGCGAGGGACTCTGGCATCTCAAACAGAGGCTGGGAAGGGGAGAAGGGCTCCAGAGGTTCCAAGCTCTGCTGCCACCAGACACTCAGCGCTTCGCTCCAGGGCAGATCCTGAACATGGGATCGAACTGCCCCGCAGTGAATGCACAGACCAAGCAGGAAGACCATGAGGAGCACTGAGCATGGGGCCTGGCGACCCAGTTCTAGCTGAGCTCTGCCCCAGCATGACCTAGGAGAAGTCCATACACCATAAAGACTCTCAAGGTTCCCTTTTGTAAGAGTGGAAATAATTAGTCTCACTTCATAGAGTATTATGAGGGTTAAATGAAATAACTCCCTAATCAATGCTTTGAAGGGTGTGGGCTGCCATAGTTTCCATTCTTCATTATGTCTCAGCAAAAATACAGTCACGCATGTGGAGGTGGGGTCTTTCTAAAGGTAACTATGCTCAGCAAACTCAGTGCTCTGCACTATAGATTAAAGGTTAAGGGTCAGACTCAGGAGTTAGACCCCTTGGGTGCAACCCGGCTCCATCAGGGTAACCCTGAGCAAATTGCTGACCCCTCTGCACCTCCACTGTCTCATCTGTAAATTGGGACTAATAACAGTACCCACTGTACTGGGTTGTTTTCAATGTTAAATGAGATGATGCATACAAATACTTAGGACAGTATTTGTGGCTAGACCCCAGCAAGCACCAACTAAATATTAATATGATTACAGTTCAGGTGTAGCAGAAACAGCCACAAAGTCTTGAAAGCACAGGGCCACCCTGAAACTCTTCCTTTCTCAGTGGCTCTCCTGCTGGAACCAGAGCTTGCAGAGAGTCAGTGGGAGAGCAGGCTGTTATGACCGTTGTTTCTCACAGCTTTGTATGGAGCCTGGAAGAAACCTCCCCACACTGAGCAGAGGGAGCCCTCCACCTATTGCTCCGCTCACTTGCAGTGGGGCCTGCCTGCTCCATCCTGAACTGCAGGTGGCCAGGCTGGGCTGTGGGAGCCGAAGTTGCCCCACTGAGCTCTCTCTCACATGGCTGGGCCCAAGGAGCCCAGGACACACAACTGGGACAGTTTGGGCCATAACCACACAACACTGCTGCTAGTCCAAACTATTTCCTTTTTCTGGTGCTATCTGGAAAAGTGAAATGGCATTTACTGAGCACACATCGTTGCATTTCCAAAAGTAACAGAATCACAGTAGTAACCTAACAATAAATTAATAGATCAATTTTGTCAATACTGCCATTTGCTTACTGTACTTATGAGATTAGAAAAATCTTCCCCCCACACACACTTCCCCCAGGAAAGACTTATCCCTAAATGGGTTTTCATTTTACAAGACAGATTCCAGTGCCTGTTTGTGAGCCAAGGGGGCACTTGGAGGTAGACTTGTAGGTTTGGACTCTGACCCTTCTCCAAGGCTTGAATCAGTGGAAAAGGAAGGGGAGAGTTAATGCACCCAGGGTGTGGAATCGGCTGTCTCACGACACTGCTATTTTAAGACACTGTAAGATTGGAAATGAATGGCTAAAGACGGAACTGGCACAGGGCGAGGGCCTCTTGTTCTGACCCCTTGGTACACCATGAGGAGGGTTAAGGTGCCTTGGCGTGGGTCGAGCGGCATGCAGTGCCCATGTAAAACTGCATAGTGTCTGCAATAAAACTCCCTAGTCGTTGCAGCTCCACGTTTCCCTCTGACCCACCCCTCATGCAGAGACCCTGACCCCACCACCACCACCAAACCACCGGCCCTCCTGGGCTTGCAGGATCGGCTCCCCTCTCCTGCAGGGAGGAGGAGTGAAACAACTATGCAGACTCTTCAGGCCCCCATCCTCACTAGTCTGATGGCTAATAGGCTATGCGACAGCTTAACTGGCTGACTATGCACACGTGGAGGTATTTTCAAGAGCCAAGTGCTCTATATGCAGGTGCCTCAAAGGGCGAGCTGTTTGAGTTGGAGGATTTACAAGGTGGTACAGGGCTGGCTGGCTCTTCTGGGATGTTGGATGTTTGGGGCAGGGTAGGGGGCAGGAGGCAGGGGACCTCTCAGCTCTTACAGGTCCAGCCCTGTCTGAATCTGCTTGGCAGACCCCGCCCCCAGCCCTGGCTCTCCCCGCCCTCGCCGTTCACAGTAGCCTCTCCAACTTTCCCTTCTTCCCCGGGGCCCATTCTTCTCTTTTCCTCTGCCTCCCTCTCCTGTCTCCTCTCCTGTCTCCTCTCCAGTCCCTTGTCACAAGAAGGGTGATGCGTGAACCAGCAGCATCTGCATCACACCCCGCTGCCTCCTGTCACCCGATAGCTTATCAGAAATGCAGAATCTCAGGCCCTGCCTCAGACTCCTGAATCACGTCTGCATTTTGACAAGATTCCAGGTGAACTGGATGCACATTGAAGTGTGGGCAGTGCCATTGAGTCTCCTCTCATCTTGCTTCTTCTTTTCCCGCCCTCAGCTTTATCTCAGTCTTTCTCCTCACTCCTTCCACCCTCTGTCTTTTCTCCAACCTGCTCTCTTCTGCCCTCTGGTCTGCCTTCCTTCCTTTCTTTCTTCTTTTCTTTTCCTCCCTCCCTCTTTTCTTTCTTTTTCTTTTCCTGTCCTTTCCTTTCTGCTTCTTTCCATCTATCCATGCATCACCCTCTTATTCTCTCTTCCATCTGACTCTCCACACTCCTTTCCTTCTATATCTATTTCTTTCTCTTTGCCTTATTCCTTTCTCCTCTTTTTGCTGAATCTTAAGAGGAAAAAAAACCGTAAAAGTTATTTCAATTCCTCTTGCCCAAATGCCATCTGTGGTCTTGCCCACCTAACCTGTCTCATTCCTTTTCTCCAAACTGCCCTGATTCTAAGGTGAAATGGTCCTCCAGCAGGAAAGCCGAGGGTGCAGGAAGCCCCTGGCCCCAATACCCTAGCAGCCCCAGCCAGCGCGCAACCCCCGGTTGTACCTGCAGAGGATTCTTTGTGCTTATGGCGATGACGTGGTACTTGTAGTAGCACAGCTCACAGCTCCAGCAGCCCCGCTCGCTGATCCACTTGATGAGGCAAGGCTGGTGGGTACACTTGACCGAGCCGTCGCAGCGGCATGGACTCAGTAGCTCCCCCTGCAGGGAGAAAGGCACAGGGTAGTGAGGCCCAGAGTCTGGCCGGCAGGCGGTCAGGCAGGCTGTAGGCTGGAGTAGGCCAGACCATGCCACTCAAACGAGGTCACAGGCTTTGTTGGAAGGCACCGGACCTCACAGAGGAGACTCCAGTCTCCCCACCGTGGAATCCAGACAACTTCAGGGAGTTCGACTAACTAAGCTGCGGGTCCCAGCTGGTGCTGCCCATGGCCTAGGGTTTCTGTGAAAATGAGTGAATCAATGTCTGTGGAAGCGTTCGGCCATCCAAAGGGGTGTCAGCCTCAGCTAGCTTCTTTCTAAAGGCTCAGCCAGGGGTCTCAAGTTCAAATGCTCTCAGGGTTAGATAGGTAACACAAGTGACAGAAATTAGCGGGTGAGGAATGGGACAGATTGGAAGGTCCAGACTCAAGTTAAAGGGACAACCACTCAGCTCCAGCCAGCTGTAGACATGGGAATCTATGTGGCAATTATATTTTATCTTCACCCAAGGGCATTTTTTCATTGCTTTTAGAGAGAGAGGAAGGGAGAGAGAGAAACATCAATGTAAGAGAGAGACATTGACTGGTCGCCTCTAGTACCCACCCAGACTGAAGCTCCCCTGAGCCCAGACCAGGGATCAAACCTGCAACCTACGTAAGTGCCCTGACTGGGAGTGAAACCCACAGCCCTTTGGTTACAGAACGACACTGCAACCAACTGAGTCACATTGTCCAGGGCTATGGGGCAATTTTTAATGTAAAATCTCTAATACTCAAATATTAACAGCTAGTACAGTTTAAAAAATATATAGTGAAGGACATTTTGCCCGAGTTTGGTTCTCTGGCCTTGAGCCTTTGCATTCTCCTACAAACCAGCAGCTCATAGAGACCCAGGTGCCCTCTGTGAAGCCTCTTCTCTCAGGTGTCAGAGTGACAAAAGCATGGCAGGTGGGGGTGGGCCTGAATCCATGGGACCTAGGAGGTTGGGCTGGCCAGGTCCCTCTGGGCAGCCTCAGGCTTTGCTGGGAGTAGCTGGGATGATCAGTCTGAGGGAATTGGAAGCAGGGAGGCAAACTACACACTCCGCTTTTCCAGTATAGACAGGCCACCTTCACTGTGGCTCCAGGCCCTTCCCACACCTCTGTTACGTATTTTCCCATTGGTCTCTTGGTCACAACATTGTAATCCCTCACAGGGACAATATTGTACTCATCTCTGCATCCTTAGCACCTAGTATGGTGCCTGAAGCAGACACCCTACCCAACTTTGACAGCAGAATGTATGCATGCCTGTTTGGTGAACAAGAGGTCAGGTTCCTCTAGGACTCGGCCATCTCTGGCTCCAGGTGGGCAGCTGTGGCACCTGGAAGAGGAGTAGAGAAGGCAGGAGATGCCCACAGGACTGGGCACTTGCAGCTCCCATGAAAGCCTAAGAGCCCTTGGTATGGAGTAGCTGCTGTGTATCTCTGGGAAAGAAACAGGAGGGGGGTGTGAGGAGAGGTACATGTGGGGAGAGGTGCTGGGGGAGAAGCAAAGCCCTCATTATTCATGGCAGCATTTCCTAGGCTCATTTATTCTAACAGGATGAGCTGGGTTTGATTAATCGGGTTGTTAAGCAGCCATGTCAAATTGCCGATCAGGTAAGAGACATTACTCCTGGTCCCTGGCAAGGGTGCCAAGTGACAGTGAAGGCTGCACTCTGCTTCCCAAGCAGCAGCCATGAGACAGAGCAGGAATAGCTGGGTCCCAACTGATAACTAGACCTGAACTTTCTGTCATGGCTCTGGATGGGGGACCCCACACCCAGCCTCATACTTATCTAAGAATGGGGGAATGGCCTGGACCCAGTGCTTGGCTGTGCGGCCAAGAGGTCAAAGGTGTGCTGCTCCCCTTGGAGCTCCTGGTCCCCAACTCTTTCCCTTAGGACTGGACTACTGAAAAGGCGTAATAGAGACTTCTCAGGCACCACAAAGAGTAGAAAGCAGGGGCATCACAATTGTTAGAAAAAGTTAACTTTGATGAAGGAAGCAATCCAGAACTTTAGAAAAAAATAATCTGCCAAGAAGTTATTTTCACCTTGGCATTCATGCAAGTTTTATATTTTATGGTTTAGTATATTTTTATGTATATTGGGAGAAGAGTCAAAGTCTTTTTTTGGTGTGTTTAAGGCTCTAAGAGGATTTAACCTGGACATTTCACCATCTTCAACTAGTCAGATCTACTCTTCTTCAAGAGCAGAAGTGGAAATCAGCCAGCAGCTGGACAGGTTCAGGCTCAACTTAACAATGTCCTTTGTGGGAAACTCTGTTAAAGGCTAAAGCGGTGGAACATGGAAGCTGAGGTGGTAAACATCTCTCAACATAAAAGGGACCTCTATCAAAGAGGAAGAGGTTCCATGACCAAGTCAAGGTTACTTAGCCAGCCAGTGGCATGGCCAGAATGTAAAGCCAGGTCTTTCTGACATCAGACTCTGAGCTTCTCAACACACTGCTCTACTCATTCCTCTTCTGCATCCTGGTCCCTGGTGTCCCTCCCACATCTGTGCCTCTGGGTGTCTTCTTTGTTTCTCCTTCCCAGATCCCACCCCCTCCCTGGCTCACCTCCAGCCCCTCCACCAGGATACGTTTCCTCTCCCATGTCATCTCTCACCGTTTGGTAATTATTTTCTCATTGTTTCCTCTGAGATCTGGGCTGCTCCTGAGTACCCCATAGAATGGGGCACACAGAGAGAATGGGCCCCAGGGGATGGGACAGGGCCAGCCCCTCTGGCCCAGCTCCAGAGGCCTGTGCCTATGGGCTGGGAGGATTATTATGATCTTGTCCATGGAGCTCATCAAACTCCACAGATCAAACGGGCTTATTAAACACGAAGGGCACCATGCACTTCCTTGATGATCTGCTTGGAGCTTTGGGACCCAGAGGCTGACCTAAGAATGATTCGGGCAAGAAAAACAACAGTTCTTCCCTAATCCCCAGGGTCCCACAGGACACTGTGTGGGGTAGAAGGGAAGAGCTTGGTGTTTGGAGACAGACTCCTTAGGATCAAATGCTTCACCTCTTACTGGCTGTGCAAGCTTGGGCAAGTTTCTTAACCTCTCTGAGGCTGCATTTCTTCATCTTTCCATTTTGGACAATTCTTACCTTCTCAAGGGTGGTTGTAAGGATTGACTGAGATCATGCACACAAAATGCTGGACACAATGCCTGGCACAGGTAAGTCCTCTTGTGAAAGTATTACAATTCTAACTTGCATTTCCATAAGCATTTTAATTTCATAGTTGTTGTTTGTTTTTCCTACTTCAGTTCCACTTGATTCTCCTACTATCAAATGGCTAAGGAAGAGATTGCCCTAACTGGGTGGCTCAGTTGGTTGGAGCCTTGTCCTATATATCAAAAGTTCACGGATTCGATCCTTGGTCATGGCACATACCTAGGTTGCGAGTTCGATCCCTGATTGGGGCATGTATGGGAAGCAACTGATCAATGTTTCTCTCTCGCATTGATGTCTCTTCCTCTCTCTCTCACTCCCTTCCTCTCTCTCTCTCCCTCTCTCAAACCAATAAACATATCCTTCGTTGAGAATTTAAAAAAAAATAGTTAAGGAAGGGAGCCGGGTCTTAAGTCAAGGGTCAACTGAGCCCCAGAGAGAGGCTGAAATTAAGTAAGTGTTTAAGAGTCTCTCCTTCTGAGATGGGTATGGGGCCAGGAGGACACGGATCTTCTGACTCCTGACCCAGGACCACCCTCTGTGTAATTATGAAGTCACTGAGAGTGTTTGGGGACCCCATCCCTGAGGATGCTGAACAGAACAGAGAGAGCCCTTGGATGGGTTAAGTAGAGTCATGCTAGAGGCAGGAGGTGGGACAAGGTGAGCCACTGCCCTTGGCCGTGGCTGAGCTGAATGGTGGGAAGAGAACAGTACGGGTTCTCCTTGCTGCCAGGGACACAGCAAGAGGCAGCTTCTCCATTCCCAGATTTCTTTCCATTTGTTTTGGGCTTGCTTCATTTTTTCCCCCTCTCAATCTGAAAGGACTTGTTTCTGGAGTACTTAGGTTACGCGGCTGCCATGGCAGTGGCGGGTAAACCAAAGACTTCCCCTTCCACCCACACACACAGGCACCAGGTATCCCTGCCATGAAGCAGAAAGAAACAAATCCAGTCTAGCCAAGCAAAGGCAGCCCAGCCCTCTGCAGGGTGCAGTTCGGGGACATCAAAACAAAGGAGATGAAAGAAACACCAGCCTTAGGGAGTAGTTCAGAGGCCTCTTCCTTTTTTGAGACTAGTGTGGTGGGTAAGAGTTTGGGCTCTAATCTCCAACAGAATTGGGTGTATTTGGGCCCTTATAATATGTGTGACGCTGAGCAAGTTGCTTAACCTTTCTGGACCTCATTCAATCATTCTTTTATTCATTAAATATTGATCTAGTATGTTCTATGTTCTCTTCTGGGTGTCAGAAATACGGGAGTGAATGAAACTAACCAAAATTCTCTAGTAGGGAGAAACAGACAATAAGAAATATAAGAAAATTTCAAGTACCTAAGATGCTATCATGCTCTATAGAGAAAAATAAGCAGGGAAAAGGGAAGCAGAATATCAGGGAGGTGGCGAGTTGAAATTCTAAATACAGTGGCTATGGAAGGCTTCACCAAATAGGGACATCTGAGTGAAGACCTGAGAAAGGTAAGGAAGCAAGCCATGCAGGTGTCTGGGGACAGAGCATCTCAGGCCAAGGGAACACAGAGTGCAAAGGCCCCGGGGGCAGAAGCATGCTTGGCACGTCCTAAGGATGCCAAAGTGGCTAGGGTGTCTGCAGTAGTGTGAATGAGGGCAAGAGAAGTAGGAGATAAGGTCAGAGATGTACTGGGGATTAAAAATGACAGTAATCAGGCGAGGCCTGTGGGTTATTTACTGTGAATGAGATGGGAAGTGATGAGAGTATTTTCAGCAGAGGACGTGATTTGATCTCACCACATTTGATGGGATCGCTCTGGCTGCTGTACTGAAAA